GCTTCTGGTTGCAAAAGTTTAAAAAGGCTATACTTTCATTTGTACTTTATCAAATTTATTTTTATAGTTTTTTATTTGAAATATTAAACATTTATTAAACATTTTTAATTCATTTATTTTATGCCCACAATTTTATTTTTTGAATTGTCTATTTTTGTTATAGTTTGTGTTAAATAATATATATATATTTGTGCTGATAAGCCTGAGTGGTCTGTTGACTGACCTTTGTATTTGTTCAAATAATTGTTATGGGCAGGTTACAATATAAAAATGTTTATCATAATCATGTCTTGTGATTATTTGACAGGAGTTTTACTTTTAAACTGTAAGTGTATTTATTTTAGTTATGTTAGTTTTGATAGTTTAGTTATGATGTAAATACAATAAAAATTAAACCAAGATTTATAATAATTATCATTTTGATCCATACATTGGTAAAGTCTGACTGGGCCTCGTATCACTTTATGTTCAATAAAATGGGCCCCGAGGTCAAAAAGGTTAAGAACCCGTTCTAGCTCACAAGATGGAAAGAGGGTATTTCCACGTTCCAAGGATTACTGGTCTGTACTTTGGTAAACTGACTATCAGGTAACTTACAGTGGGGACCACCGTGACAAAGAACTGTGAGCCGTTGGTGCCGGGTCCTGCATTGGCCATGCTGAGAGTGTACGGGCGGTCATGTCTCAGTGTGGTGTGAAACTCATCCTCAAACTCTCCTCCCCAGATGCTCTCTCCTCCCATCCCTGTGCCTGTGGGGTCTCCTGTCTGAATCATGAAACTCTGCACAGAGCAGGGGGATAAATTAAAACACAGCTAATTATTTACGGCCCTGTTAAATGATTAAATTAAAAAAATTACCTTAATTACTCTGTGAAAAATATGTCCATTGTAGTATCCATTTCTGCTGTGGACACAGAAGTTCTCCACAGTTTTTGGGCACCTAAAAACAGACATTATTCTATATTTTGACACGGAGGCAGAATTTCTCAACACAGACGTGTTTAGTGAAACCTTACTCCACAGGAAAAAGCTTAATGTAGATGTCTCCCATGGTGGTGTGTATGATGGCGCTGTCAGACACTCTCTTAGGACCCTCTGCCTGAGTGGCAGCCATCACCTCTTCCTTAGAAGGCTTCTCATTAAAGATGTCTCTGTCAGAGTCTGCACTCTTTGTGTCCTCTGGTTCTCTTTTTGTGAACTTCACAAACAGGAGAAAACATGATGACACCACTTTAAAAACAGTTATTTTCAAACAAAGATCCAGCTCTCTCACCAGGTAGAAGCGGTTCTTCTTGAAGGCGGTGCAGAAGACAGTTGGATCAGGCTCTACGTTCTGCAGGGCGGGGTTATCGGAGGCCTTCATCTCCACAGTGGGAGCCACATTCATGGTCTTTGCAACCCCCTGGAACAGGCACAGCTGGACCACTCGAATATTCTCCTGCTTCCCAAGGATTCGCACACATCTGATAATGAAAACACAAAAGATTTTCTCTAATTACTGGATTTATAATTTCAGCTAAACCTTTAAAGCTGCTGAACTTCAGGACAAATATTAAAGCACTCTTCTTTATAATACTGAATATATAAAATATTACAAAAGAAGCTGGTGGGCTGGGAAAAATTTGGAGAACATTTTCATCAGACAATGTCATACATTTATGTGGGAAGAACTTAAAGAGTAACTTACCCCCCAAAAAAACTTTTTTTTAGCTGATAAACTGTCTAGAATGTGTCTAAAATGTTATATAGAACTGTTTCTGTGCTAATTTTGATGTTTTTGTGTGTATTTGTTCAAATCTGTAATATTT